TGGAGTAGTATTCCTACATAAACACATGCGTCCAATTACGCCCTTAATTCATCTACAAAATAATAACATCAAATTCAAAAACACCCACCAAATTCCCAGACCTCTCTTCGATGAGCATCTAACCTGGGATACCCACGTTACAAATCTGATAACAGGTGCCCTGAAGACCTAAACAACCTCCGATGCTTGGTGGAAAACAACTAACCATAAACTTCTTGGCATCAACCAAGCAAATCATTAATAAGCCAACAAAACTTCAAGCCCAAAACTGCAAGCGCTTGCTCGCAAACACCCACTACTATCCCCCATATCACGAGGCATACATAACTAATCACTACCTAACAAATCCAAAACAAAACACCAAGCTCTGTAATATCTCCACACCTAGACTACAAAGCCCTAAAATAAACACATCACTCAACTAAAATAAATATTGAAAATACCAAGCACCGCCAAACATTCTATATCACAACCTATTAGGCAATCTAAATCTAACAGGCTCTCAGACAAGGAATCGTTCTTCACGGCAGAGCATTTCTGCAGCATTACAAAACCCGCTCATCAAACAACACGATAAAATCCTTTTAGTAACGGACACGCAATTAAACACAAAAATACCAGCACCCCACCTACCAAAAACTGAAAAGCACACAACAACTAATACACGAGGCAAACAAGTAGAGTACCTTTAGAGTGCCCCCCCACCCACGTCGGAGTGTTTGGGAACGAAGAAAGAGGTCCTCAAGTTATCAGAAATAAGCTTAATCCTACCAGTTTCTAAAAGCGAAATCAAAAGTTTCTCTAAACAAAGAAATTCCCGACAGCGGCAGTCAAATTAACAAAATTCAAATTGTAAACCAAACTAGATACTCCAAAGCCACTCAAAAAAACTAAAAAACTATCATAAATCTAAAACAATAGACACGCCACACTAAACTCTTACCTACATAAAATTAAGAAACACAAGACGGGCAAATGCACACACTGCAGAACAGAACAAAAATGGGCTTCATGTCGGGAATCGAACGAACGCTTTAACCACTAGGCTACCCGATCACCCCGCAACCTTTTTCACTGCTCGCACTACAAACACAAAACGACGCTTCCAAATACACTGGACATTAACACACACCTTAAATTACAAACATTCCTTAGCCCATTAAACAACACACAAACCTTTATAGCCTTAGGCATCGTCCTAATTATAATTGGCTTTCTTGGTCGGATATAATCACACCTATAATCACAACGATTCTTAAAACCAAACTATCGCAATAAAAAAATATATTACCTCCCCTCTCCCACTCTCTCCTCCTTCCTCCGACCTCTGGCAAAATTCTAATATCAAAATTCTCCAAAATCTAAAATATGTTACCCTAACGCTGCCTCACTTGGGTTTCTCCTTTTGGTCAAGTCCTTCGCTCCATTTTCTGAAACACACACTAAATGGCATGACAGGCCCGTGTTAAAATAAGCATCAGGTCGGGAAGCGCACGTAAAATCTCAAATTCACCATCATGCATCTCGGCCGTAATTGCTCGGGTCAAGCACACACACACACACACACACACACACACACACACACACTCACTCACAAATTGTGACAATACAGTGAGGTAATGAGTAAGTGCTACCACCACATACATACATACATACATACATACATATCACTCAATCACACACACACACACACACACACACACACACACACACACTTCAGCCATACTGGCAGCGTACACCCAACCCCCCTACACACATACACACACACACACACACCTTGATACACACATACACATGTCAATTATCCACGTGGTGTGTGGGGGGTACAAATAATAACATTAACTTACGGATAAAAGACTTGATCGTAGCCCATATGTCACTGTTGACTTGACGTTGATGTGTGCCGCTTTATATTTTGGTCTCCTTACCGTACAGCAGAACAACGCCCATGCTTCAGCTAGAAAAAAACATCCATGTTCATGGTTCATAGTTCAATAAAATAATAAACAAAACGACAGCACGCGAAGGCACAGTGTAACAATCTTGAACACCAGTGTGTTCATCACTTGAACTCAACAAATACTATTTACATGATTTGATAATTAAGTGGTAATACCAGTAAATGTTTTTGTTTATGCCCTTTGATCTTTGTTGATATTCATGACATAAACAGATTGAGACATATACATGTTGAATAAAAACGTTTGGACTTTTTTTATAACGCAAGGCATACTTTCATCATGACCATAATAATAGATATTCAGTGATTAGGCTTTTGATAATTGTATCTGTTTTTTTATTTCATATGCTGGATAATAGTAATTAAAATGATGTAATGACGTGTTATCGTGATAAGGTGATCAACTATTATTTGATTTGTGACTGATCTTAAGTTAATAAAAGAATGCATGGTAACAATGTTCTATAAGTATATTTTTTCCATACATTTCACATTCAAATAATGTTGGGCGTCTATTTATGTACCATACACATCTTCCTGGAGAAGTCAGTATGATTTCATAATTGTAAGGACACATTTCTCTTATTTACTACTATTTTGGATCATGATTATCAGAATGATGTTTGTTTGTTTGTTTGTTGTTTAACGCCGCACTCCGCAATGTTCCAGCTATATGACAGCGGTCTGTAAATAATCGAGTTTGCTGCAGACAATCCAGTGATTGACATCATGAGCATCGATCAACACAATTGGGATACGATGACATGCATCAACCAAGTCAGCGAGCCTGACCACCCGATCCCGTTAGTCGCTTCTTAAGACAAGCATTGTCGACTTTTACGGCAAGCATAGGTTGCTTAAGACCTATTCTACCCCGGATCTTCAGGGGTTTAGAGCCGAGTCAGAATATATGCCTTATGGGAAATATGTTATTGCTACCTGTATTCTCTTTTAAATATCGTTTAAAGGTGGACAGTTTAAGAGCATTAATAAAAGACTCAATTTCAATTGACCACCGTCAAGACCACAGTCACAATATGCTCGAATCATATTTTTTTATTTTAATCTTATCCTTTTTGTCATTCGAAGTAAATTATAAAAAAATGTGTTGATTTCATGAATGTTTTTGGTGGGTTAGGTAGTGCAGAGAAAATATGTACGAGAGTAGAGACAGCCAACGTTTTTATAACTAAGTTCCCCTATTATTGTTAAATTTCTTCGACCAAATATTCTGTTCATGATATCCAATCGTTTCTTTGCATTGATCACCCATAGGTCCTTTAAAGAAGGGTTTAGTTTAATACCTAAGATTTTCTTTGTGCCAGGCTAGTTTTAAAATCTTTACCTAATGTTATATTATTCAGTCTTATCTATATTCATTTCTAAGGCCAGACATGTTATAGAATTTTTTTTATGTTTCTATGGCAGCATTTAGGCTATTTTCATATCCATCCAGAAAGAGTTGTGATCCGTCAGCATATTGTCCTAATTTGCGTTCTAGGCTATTTAGTGTAATGCCTTTTATGTAAGAATTATCCCTGATCATTAAACCGAATATTTCGACTACAAATAGGAAAGATAGGGAGAAACCAGGTCTCCTTGTCTACATCCCCCTTTTAACATAAAAAAGGATAAAAGATGCCCATTTTGTATAACAGATGCTGATGCATTATCAATTAAAATCTTTATCCATTTAATGATATTTGGTCCAAATCCAAATCCAAATGTTTCTATTACTTGTTCAATAACATTTTGTAACATTGAAGTATTTAATTTCCTCTTTACTTACGGGAAATCAGCACGAAAGCGACAAGTTGAACGTTTGAAACAGAACTATCGCCCACACATTTCCATAAATAAGGTCACAAGGCCGGTATTGATCTAGTTCGAGGGAGGTAAAATTACTTCCATGATTGTTTAAGAAGCCTATAATGTTCTTCAAATTCCTGAGATGATGCAATTTGAATGTCTTCTCAAAAGGGGATAGTAGTCACACAAAAACGTTTCCCCGAGTTAAAGGAGGCGTCTGCAAGGGATCCCCTGACTTGACGGTAGCGGGCCGAGTGAAAAGTAAATCTTTTCGTCATAAAGCTTGTATCCTGATTGTGTAAAGACAACAGATGTTGAATATTATAAGAAGTTTCATGTCAACCTGACGCTTATCAGCAGACATCTGACTAATACCACCCACGGGATGTAAAAGTAACATTTGGTACAATATGTTGCCCACTGTGCATAGTCAAACCTACGTTCTGCCAAACCTACGTTGACCTGGTTGTTTTAACAATCCTTTTTAGTGGGTGCATACAGCACTAAAGCATCGACCATTTGATATTCGGGGAAATGGGATTTTGCATTGAGACTAGATATTTCTTAAGCAACGACTGCAAAACCAGATATTTTTGGTAATTACAAATTATGAGCCAAAGAAAATCCCAGGCCCCTATTCGATATGAGCCCGCATTCAATTGCCCACATGGCTGCAATATGTGAAGCCCATTTATGGTCAATCACGCCGTGAAAGTACTTGGTTATTGCTGAAGGCGGAGTAAAACAGAGTTGATTGGTTTTGACAAGGATATCAATCTACATGTAGAAAAATTATGTAACATAATGGTCGAAATATACATTTACCAGTAATTAAAGATATACATGTTACTCGCCTCAATTTGATGAACCAAACAGTTAAGTTTGTTAGTCGGACCGCGCCTAGACAAATGTATGCATATTTATGTTAAACATGTCTTTTTAATTTGTTATTCGCTTTTCTAAACAATCAATGTCATTGCATACATGTGTTTTAATTTTTCTGCCCTAATGACGTTAAACATTCTATGAAAAACGTCAGTAGTTCACAGAGATGACCTCTTAGATATATATAATATCTAGGTTAAACGACCATCGGTAATGTGTGACAACCTGTATGAGTAAATGAAAAAAACCCCGTAAAACTTCTGTTTCACGAAAATCAATTGAGTGACACAGTTCAAGCGACCAAGGTTAAGGCTATTGATCATCAGTATAAATTTGGGTAACTGGCTGTTACTTTTAGTAGCTGTTTCAAGAATGAAGATGATGTTCGCCTCCAACTGGTTCCCGTGTCTCTTACTAGCCATACTCGTTCCGGCAGCATCAGAAACCATAGAGGAGAAAACTAATGCTCTCTTGACATTTCTTGATGCAGTTGATTCCGAACTTGGAGGCGTATTGGACGTCACCGACGATCAGTGTCCATGTCTTGGTAAGTAATACAATATACGGTTATTTATAGTGGCTGCATAGGTATTGAAGGAGCACCTCAAGTACCAAAAAGCTAACAATTTAACCTCTCTCTGTGAATGTGCGCGCGCGTCTATGTGCTTGTGTGTGTTTGTTTTGTTTTTGTTTGTGTGTGTTTGTCTGTGTGTGTGTGTGTCCGTCTGTCTGTCTGTCTGTCTGTCTGTGTGTGTGTGTCTGTCTGTCTGTCAATTCCGTGATTGATATTATCAGTAACTATGTACGCCATCGGGCAGCAATGATACACCACTCACAAAATCAACAAACCTGACCCCCCAGGACATTGAATCGCTTCGTAATAGTTTGTTAAGTCAGTTTGTTAACCTGTACCTCCGCTGACATACTTCCTTACAAACGTGTTGCTTTTTCTCTTGTAACAATTCGGCCGCTGAGGTCCTATGCACAGAAAGAAAACGTTTTGAAATAATACTTTGGAAATAATACTAATTAGTATTTTGAACATGCAACACAATATGCTTTTTTCTTGTGAGTTTTGATTTTAAACTTAAATGTGGAATCGCGTCTCAATGATTTCATAAAAAAATATTAATTACGTAAGGATAAGATTTATGGATTTTAAAATATTAATTGTCTTTGTTAATAAATGAAAGTTGTTGTACCTGCGAAGTTAACGTGGCGCTGAACGTGTCCAATATAGACTCCAATACAATATTTGTCCCTTTCGGCATGTTATTTTTATGTTTAAAACACTATTTGTCGGTTATGCTTTGGGATGTAAACCCTTTGAGATCGGGGGTTGAAAATGTAAAACCTTCGGCCCGCATTTCATCTCCCTTTCACCTCGTGTCTCACATCCCCATTTTGGTGAATCTAGTATTTTAGAAAACTACGTGACTGATATTGTTTTGTTTGTACGTGGCTATCGTGTAATGTCCCCACTCGATGGTGAATGCCCACGAAGCATATGTCGGCTGATGAGAGGGAGATACATACGTTCCTTAAATTGCTGTCTGTCTCTAATAGGAGCTACATATATACGCACTGTCAATCTGCACCTCGATTGAAATAGCGCTTTACTAGTAAGGCCCAATGTTGCCTCTTTGGTTGCATAATTTCATTTTTAAATCGAAATTTCGAGGATCTTTTCGCGTCGTAAAATTATACAGAATTTCGAAATTTAGATTTTTGCTCGTATTTTCATTTATTTTCTCGTTGTTTCAAGTATTCATGTTTTGCAACATTTCGAGTTTTCTCGTTATTTCGAATACTAGTATTTAGGTTCTAGTTCTTGATATGAAATATTTAGTTCGTTGCAGTGTTTGTTATATTTGTTTGAAACATTCCATGAATCCCCTTTTCATGACTAAGCAGCATGGTGATAAATGAACATATGTTTTCCTCATCTTTGTTCTACACCCTGTCGGATGTTGTTAAGTGTGTTTTCAGGATTTGATGAGGCACTTTCCGAGTTACAATATTGTGTTCAAAAGTTTATTTCAATTATTTTCGTGTTGCTGTTTTGCGTTAAGATTATTAACTCGGAGCCGTAACAACATCAGGATATGGTATGTGCCAGAAACTTACAAACTTGTATCTGATATACTCTCTGTAGATATGGTCAGTCACGGATCTTGATCGTGGCGCTTTGACCCAACCCAAATATTGCTTGTATCTATTAATAGCGTCTACCGGATAGACAACATGCTCCTCCCAGTTCTACAATAAAGCACCTGTACAAGTGTGCCTGTAAGGTTATCCATCTCATTTGGTGTTCCCCATCCCCATGTCCAAAAGGACTGAGTGAGTGAGTTGGGCTTAACGCCGCGTTTAACAGTATTCCAGTTATATCACGGCGTGTCAGCTTAATGTGGGAGGAAATCCCGAAGTGATGCAGGTCTTAGACGTTTACCACTTCGGTGAAAACCACTAGCATGGGTATGGTGCTGACAACCCTAAAAACATAATCGGAGCGAACTGGGATTCGACACCCACAATCATAGGTTTCTGTCGTGCCGAAAACACGCAACTCCGCACAGCGAATTGCGACGCCTTGGACGACTGGGCCACCCGTGCCCCCTGTCCAAAAGGAACGAAAATAGCAGAAACAGATAGCATGTTCCAAAATATACCTATAGTTGCAGTTTCGAATAGGGGTAAGCTGAGAACTTTTGAGATGGACAGATCAAAGAGTTATTTCTTGACTCCTACGCCCCTAGAGATTTGTTTAATAAAATACACATCAGGTTATCAGCTCTGAAAAGGAGACTTGAGGCTTCCTTTAATAGTCGGGCTTGCGTGCGTGCGTATGTGCGTGTGTGTTTCTGAGTGAGTGGTTTTTGACATTCAAAGAATGACGGTAATTGGAGGTGGGGAAACAAATAAACTATGATTCGCATAGAATAACCAAGTGCTGGGAATAAATGTATTAACGGGATTCACAGACCCATGAGACCTTTTGGACACCAGGAATATCCAGGGGGAGATTTAAATAACGATCGCGTGTACACAGTGTGCGAACAGGTAGATTGTGGGTCATCAAACCGGGAAGCGTTGGTCTTTAACAGACTGTCGTGTAAAGCACACGCACTCGCTTACTGGTGTGGGGAATTAATTGAATGTTCTTCTTAATTCTTATTGATGACAGGGTGGTCAGGTTCGCTGACTTGGTTGATGCATGTCCACGTATCCCAATTGCCTTGGTTGATGCTCATGATGTCAATCACTGGATTGTCTGGTCAACACTCGATTGTTTTTCAGACCGCCGTCATATAGCTGGAATATTGCTGAGTGTGGCGTTAAACAAAAAACACACCAAATTTTGTGAAAACTCTTGCTCAAACGTTGTTTGATCCGGCTTCAGTAAACATTCATAGGTTTACTCAATCTTTTCAATGGTTTTATTATTGTCATAAGTGATGCATGATGTCAGGTACAATTTTCACTTGGACCGTGTGTTTTTGTATTGGATTTGTTTCTTGCGGACAATTGACTTGGCTCTGCATGTGTTTGTGACGGGTGCCATCGGTGGGACAGAATGCTTATCATTTCGTATTTTGAATTCTTTTAAACAGTGATTGCTATTCTATTCATGGCAAAAAGCATAAAGTTTTGTTTTTAGTCCGTGGTGTTTCCAAGTTAGAAATTTTCCCCAGCATTCTCTACTGGGTGTGTGACGGTCGAATAGCCTAGTGGTTAAAGCGTTCGCTCGTCACGCCGAAGGCCCGGGTTCGATTCCCGACAGGGTACAATGCGTGAAGCCCATTTTGGTGTCCCCCGCCGTGATATTATTGGAATATTGTTCAAAGCGGCGTAAAACCTCACTCACTATACTGGTGGTAGTCAGGCTCGGTGACCTAGTTGATAGCACGTCAACGTAGCCCGACGGCCAGAATCGTTGCTCATAATATCAATCGCTGGATATGTCTGATCCATACTTGATCTACAGGCCGCTATTATTAAGCTGTTGCACTAAGGACTTGGGCGTTAAACCTAAGTGTATTGTTTAAATATCAGTATTTGTGTGGCAACAGTTTGGTAACTCGCAAAGCAAACAGAGATTTATTGAACAGTAACGAATTTTCACCATTACAATCGAGTGACAAAATGGTCTACAATGCCTTGTGGGCTCATGTGACTTTTTAGTCTGTCTTCATTATGGCGTTCGGATATTAGGCAGTATATCTATTGTCACAATTTACGTTACCCCGACACATTAAATTACATTATCATCGCACGGGACTTTTATTGGTGTACGATTAAAAATAGCTTCATATATCTGCCGCTCTTTTTGGCTCGATGATGGGGTCATTTCGCACCGTCTGATGTTTGCAGTTAATTGCATGTCCAAATTTCTACATACAGTGTTTATACACAACAGCATCATCAGAGGTACACTTACATTTTGCGCGGTGTTTTTGCAGAATGTAAACAAATGTGGGTTGGCAAATTAACTTGGCAGCTGCATATAACTGAAATATTGTTCAGTGCTAAACAGCAAACGGAAGAACAAGTTGTAATGTTTGTTTTCCTTATGAATCATCAATCTTCTTGCAGATGACGTAACCCTTATTGGAAACGAAACAATTCAAGATGTGGATTGCTTTGAAACGAAGGTTGAAGTCTTCAGAAGTCACTTGAATAACTTAATTAGAAATCTCCAATCTCTCGGGAATGCCAGCTCATCAGCTTGCCCCAACCGTATGTATTTTTAGGTCAATTACACTAAATATTATATATGGTTAAACCACTCATCAAGTGTTGATTTGACCAGATCCATGGCATTCGGCTGGACCATACCGACAGTCAGAGCATGTCTGGAACAGGGCATGTAAATATATCACTTTGCCGGCTCTGGTATGAAACCGACGAGCGCGGGTATGGTGTGGAAGCCCAAGAAACATAACCAGGGCGAATCTGGAATTCGAACCGACGACTTAACTCCAGTAGCAAAATGAATTGCGACGCCTTGGACTACAATGAATTACAGTCATTATATCAAAGGGCAATTGTGCAAGGGAATTTGCACACATCCCTCTGATCACATGTGCCACCTGTGTTCGATGTAGCTTTAAACAATCTTTAATATGGTAAGTATATTGTTGGTTCGAGAACATGCATATTCTATATGTGTTTATTTGTTTTCCAATTCCTTTTCTCAAGGTACCGGTTCGGTGTTCGTGGCCGCTTGTGATTCCACTACTGTTTCGGAGCTGGATCCTAATGGTGTCGTCCAAAATGGCTTTGAATTATCTTCGAATATTTCGGGGTGGACGGTGGGACCGACTACTGCGAGCTCGTTTGAGTTTGACTACTTTGCAAACGATCCGTTTGTACTCCGATGTCTACAAACGCCAAGTGGTGTCGAGGTTATTCTGGGTAACAGCTCTGGTATGTTAATGACAACTTCTCTTTATTTACAACCTTTGATATCAATGTCTCTATATTCAGTCCTTAATCACACTGGATTTAGTGGATAGAGAGTCGAGAGTGGAAGGGTCGTCGTTTGATCCCCTGCCACAATATATCAAAAGACATTAAAAAATTATACGTGCGGCCCTGCCTAACGTTAAGGAAATCAAACAAAGACTGGTCGGTTAGGAGTGAGTAGCCATATGGGGTATCCATAGTAAACTGTGCGATGTTGGTGTGGTGTCGTGGTGAGGTGTAGGGTGATGTTGAGAGGTATATATATGAGTAAGATTGGGCGATTTGGGGTGGACATTTTATGGTGTTTAGTGTAGGTGAGGTGAGGTGAAATGGGGTTTAACGTCGCGTCCAAAATTATTGCACTTATATAGCGACGTGCATGTACGTGTGTGTGTTTGTGTGGCTGCTTGTACTAGTCCGGACTGATGCCGATTTATAGTGGTAGCTCACTGAGATACCATGCCGCAGTTTAACATGGATACCCCACTCAGACACAGTATACTGACTCCGAGCCGACCAGTCCATGTTTTAGCCCCTTAATGCCGAGCACCAGACAGGGTAACAACAAGTACCATCTTTTAACGTCTTTTGGTCTGATGCGGCCGGGGATCGAACCCCGGACCTTCCGCTCTCCGGGCGGACACACTACCACTAGACCACGGAGGCGGTCGTTTAGTGTAGGATGGCACAGGGAAGTGTATAAGGTGGTTTAGGATGGCACTCAATATTGTGAAATGACCGGTCCCTAACTGCAATTTCATGGAAGACGATATTTTACGTACCCTCTAATGTCATTGACTAATTATGAGTTATCTTTCGTATACATTGTACAACCGCTCCCAATAACAATACTCTTCTTCTTGTTATTGGCATTGAGTGAATGAGTGAGTGTGTGAGTGAGTGTGGTTTTACCTCTTCTTTATCGATATTCCAGTGATATTACGGTGGGGGTGGGAGAAATGACAAATGACACATTGAACTTATAGTGGTGTGATGAGTGGAAGCTTAAACCGCTAGGCCACCTCACCGCCCCGACGTGTTTTTGAAACCAAATGAATTATGTCTCCTTTGTTCATAGCGAGTGCATGTCATGTAACAGGTCTGTACGCTTTTGTTGACAGATGCGCCATTAACAGCGTCAGCTGTTGGAACTGGCATTGTTTACTTTGAGCCAACGAATGAAGTGTATGTGGCCATTACATTTGACAACTCCTCACTGAATGGGGTTTATGCCTTCAACAGGACCGGCTTTCCGGATATCAGGCTGGTCTTCCCGTTTGATGGCCCCACTGGGCTGCTCTACCTATCTGGAGAGTATGTAGATAACGTACATTAGGAAATGATCCTTGATTCCGAGAACTGATTCTCACAGTCACTGTTGTCTTTTAAATGCAGATGAGGATGAGGTCGCTTTGTATGGCAACTAATTTGAAATACTGCTTTCTCCTTGATGGACTTTGCATAATGTCAACCTTACACAATGACCCCATTTAGCCTTCGTAGGAGGTTCAAATATTATTTACGATAAATAGACGTTTCTAAACTTTGCTCATGATACGACCTTCTAATCTACATGTTCAAATGTACGTTATAGAATAATTATTGTCCCATTATAAGAAAGGTAGCTGCCTATTTGATTTTTCTCAGCCCTCCGTCTTACGAGTCTATCAAATCCAATTCAATCACGTGTTTCTTCTTGCAGCTTTCTCTATATGGCTGATGGTTTGAAGGTCGTCAGGATTACGGAAGGCGACACTTCATGGACGACAATAGTGTTTTGGCCTATAGATCCCATTGCGTTTGCAGTTGATGATGATGGTGAGTAGGATGGGACTGAACAATAGGAAGGAAGGAAAGAGTGAAGGAATGGAAACAAGTGTCTTGAAACTTAGAAACATTGTCCTTCCTATTCGATTGTTGTTTCTTTGTACATATATTTGTTGCGAAGAACAGTGATGCTCAGTTAACATGCTGCATTTCTGAGGCGTATAAGTATGCTAAATGGCACTGCAAATTCAGTTGAGGTTTTAATAATTTAACGTTTATGACGAACATGCTTAAAATAACTAACGGATATAACGAACTGATTTTTAGGTCCCGGACATTTGCTGTTTGTTTTAGTTGAAATGCTTATAACGAACTACGTTTATAACAAAGTTAACTAAAATTAGTGGTCCCCTTGAGTTCGTTGTAACCGTAGTTTACTGTACATGATAATCGGCCATCAAACATCCCCAAGATCAACATTGTGACTACTGATTTCTAGTTTTGTCTCCACTTGTGACAATCTTGCGTGAATCACTGCGTCAATTCTGTTATGCAAGTCATTTATGTCTATGATACAGAAAACATCGTGTTCTGTGACGGCTCTGGCTCCCTATTTGTGTTCAAACCAGCCATAGGATCATTCATGCAGTTGAAAGTGCCAACCCCAGGCCTAGTCTGTGGATCAATCGATTTATCCTCTGATGGCCTTATCTACGTCGCATACGATGGCCAGTCGTAAGTAAACCTTTTTTTTCCCAAACAAAACTGTTATATGTTGTATGTAGTACAGTTGTTTGACCTACAAGATAACTGCACATACATTGCTGTCAAAATTATCAATATTTTACTTCAGTGTTCAACATCACACTAACCTGTATAGGTTCGATCTGCATTTGGTATTGGTAACTCTGTCAAGCTGTGTGACATTTTAACCCTTAACTTACGATCACAGGAACCTGGCACAACGAAGGGACTTTGCACAACGAGGCATTACACTACTGGGCCGCTCCGATGATGGATAGCTAGACACAAACTGTTAACTTGACTATAGAGATAAAAGCTGTATTGTTGTGGGCTTCTGATCACAACTTGGATAATCATGTGGTTATTGTTACTTTCAGTGAACTTGTAAGATCAGTATTGATAGATACAAGGTCGGTGGTGGTGTTGTTGCATAATGGTATCGAGATGTATATGCCTCATCATTGTATATTGATACGTTCCCGATAATGACTGTTTCTGTGATTATTATTGACTTAGGTGATTCATAACGATGTATTTGTGTATTTGTGCACGTAGAGTGGGGGGATATGATTTGTTGATGGCTCATTTGTACACACAATTCTTCATTTGTGAGTACTTTCACAAGGATGAGTGTCAGATTATATAATATTTTCTTCAATTTATTGCGAGGCTGCCTTCGTGCGTGCGATAATACAATAATCATGGGTTTAAGGATTATCAAAAGAAAAGGTGCATTGATCAAAGGTGTCTGCGACAAATATTCACCGCCTGTATGAATGTGTGTGTGTGTGTGTGTGAGAGAGGAGAGAGAGAGAGAGAGAGAGAGAGAGAGAGAGAGAGAGAGAGAGAGAGAGAGAGAGAGAGCACTGTCCTGTGAACTGAATCCTTCAAGGACGGTATCCCCGCGTCATTACAAGGAATGGATGATCATTGGGTTAAAGGATCCCATTCATTTTCTGAGCTACGTTAATGTATGTTGTTCATCATTTACATATTTTGTTTACCTTCCTGATCATAAATATAACCTTGCCTCAATCAGCTGTTTTTTGCAAAAAAACACCGTACTTTATACCTGTATAATGTTTATTTTGTTGCAGAAATCTTGAGGTTTACAACTCTTCCTCGAATGCATTTATTGAAAACTTGAACTACACTTTGGACGTCCCAACGGTCTGTCCGATTGTCCTGGTTGACCCTAGAATCTGGTATGCAGTGTTTGATATGAGTAGCAACACAATAAGTCTGGCTTATAATATACCTTATAAATTTGCATTTGACAGAAAACAATCAATGTTTTCCAAAATAATAATTTATTGCCTCTACAATGACGTATTTACTTTCAATTACACATCAAAACAGCGTACATAGTGTACATTTATACCAGTTTAGTACATCGTCAAAACTTCACGGTTGCGTGCGCGCGCACATGTGTGAGGGGGCATCCATGTTTACTTCAAATCTGCATTCGTCTTTTCAGATCGTGATCGGACACCACGCTGTCATCAGAGAGTGTAACCATGTCTACAGACAATAAAACATGTTGACACTCTACATGATAGCTGTTGTTGCTCGTCACCACTGATGTATAGGATTGAGAAGCTGAATAACGGCTTTCTCCATAATTTTATTTGACGCCGACTGATATTTGACCGCTTTGAACAGTATGTCAGTCAAATCACCAAACATTTGCATCAGTTTGATGTGTGAGGAACCAATGTTATCAAACACTATTTGAGAGTGCTTTCGATGTAGTCGGGGTCGTACAATTGATGACCATCAGTTGGTTCTCATGCTTTCGGAAAGAGTACTGTCGCTTTTATTTACTTTGAAAAAGATCTAACAAACCAAGGATCTTAATCAGGGGGATTCTGGGATTCGAACCCAGGTCCAGTCGTTTTGACTCAGCACAGCGAACTTCGACCCCTTAGTCGACTGGGCAAACGGTGTCCTAAAAGGGCCATATATGTAGATTATAATCTAATGAATCAATCAGCCATGCGGGCGGTAAGGTAGCCTAATGGTTAAGGCGTTCGCTCGTCACGCCGAAGACCCGGATGCGATTCCTGACATGGGTACAATGTGTGAAGCCCATCTCTGGTGTCCCCCGCCGTGATATTGCAGCCTGGAGGTGGCATGTGTGGATTTACTCCGTGTGGATGGAGGAGACACACATACAGACACACACACACACGTACACACACACGGACATACCCGGGTTTTGTTGCGTAGCATGTAGCACACTAAAATTACAATATTGTATAAATAAAATTCAGTGAATTTCGGTCAGTTCATGTCTGAGTCAATTAACAGAAATATACCTGCATATAAATTCGTGAAGTTTTTAGAATAGCTACATATTTATTGTGCAGAAACCGATCAATCACTGTCGTTAGTTGACTAGTTATGCGACATAAATAGAATCAACCTTGCTAACACGTAAATAAAGATGCGAGGTTTTATAGGTGAAAGGTATCTTGATATGTTCACCAGATAACTGAAACAGTCTATAAATGAATGGCGAGCTGATGTTTCTGGTACAAACACATACCCACACCACATGTATGTTAGTAAATAGCTGGCACTGAATCAAACTATAATCAAATGATAGGTTTGTTTCTTGTTGAACGCTGTTTTTATTAAATAATCGAGTCTAGACCAGAGAAACCCTGATCGACATCATGAGCATCAATCCACGCAAATGGGATACGATGACATGCATAAATCAAGTCAGCGATCCCGTTAGTCGTCTCTTACGACAAGCATAGTCGCCTCTGAGGACAAGCATGGGTTGCAGAAGGCCAATTCTCCCCTGGATGCTCACGGATGTAAATAACAGGTACCACTATATTATCGAATTCTTTCTTTAGTGTTTGGATAGAACTGAACGCATGTGATCAGTTCATTTGTTCTCATGTCTACCCTTTCTGACTTAAGATTGAACTTACATATATGCCTCTGCATATCAAACATTTTGAACTGTACACTTAAAATCAAGGAGCTGTTGGTTTGTTTGATGAACCAGTGTTACAAATTAGTTGAAACACGCGGTAGGAGATCAACGATGCTTACCGATGATAAACGATAAAACACCGAACATGATGGCTGAAATTAGTTATAGTATACACTGTATGCACGACAACTTATAACTTTAACATAAAGAACCATACATAGCAGGCTGGCAAAAAGAATCACCACTCACGATATGTGAAATGAGGCTAAATCAATGGCTGGAACAAGTTATAGATTCATACTGTGGAATAAGTGGGTCTGATCGGACATTGATGTGGGTTGAGTGATGGTGGGTGGGGTAACACTGGAGATGGTCTGTATGTAGTGAGAGTGATCGTGGGTGAGTAACACTGATGATGGTCGGTATGTGGTGAGAGTGATGGTGGGTGGGGTAACACTGGTGATGGTCAGTATGTGATGAGAGTGATGGTGGGTGGGGTAACACTGGAGATGGTCGGTATGTGATGAGAGTGATGGTGGGTGGGGTAACACTGATGATGGTCGGTATGTGATGAGAGTGATGGTGGGTGGGGTAACACTGGAGATGGTCAGTATGTGATGAGAGTGATGGTGGGTGGGGTAACACTGGAGATGGTCGGTATTTCATGAGAATGATGGTGTGTGAGTAACACTGATGATGGTCGGTATGTGATGAGAGTGATGGTGGGTGGGGTAACACTGGTGATGGTCAGTATGTGATGAGAGTGATGGTGGGTGGGGTAACACTGGAAATGGTCAGTATGTGATGAGAGTGATGGTTGGTGGGGTAACACTGGAGATGGTCAGTATGTGATGAGAGTGATGGTGGGTGGGGTAACACTGGAGATGGTCGGTATGAGATGAGAGTGATGGTGGGTGGGGTAACACTGGTGATGGTCAGTATGTGATCAGAGTGTTGGTGGGTGGGTTAACACTGGAGATGGTCGGTATGTGATGAGAGTGATCGTGGGTGGGGTAACACTGGAGATGGTCAGTATGTGATGAGAGTGATGGTGGGTGGGGTAACACTGGACATGGTCGGTATGTGATGAGAGTGATGGTGGGTGGGGTAACACTGGACATGGTCGGTATGTGATGAGAGTGATGGTGGGTGGGGTAACACTGGAGATGGTCGGTATGTGATGGGAGTGATGGTGGGTGGGGTAACACTGGAGATGGTCAGTATTTGATGAGAGTGATGGTGGATGGGGTAACACTGATGATGGTCAGTATGTGATGAGAGTGATGGTGGGTGGGGTAACACTGGAGATGGTCGGTATGTGATGAGAGTGATGGTGGGTGGGGTAACACTGGAGATGGTCAGTATCTGATGAGAGTTATGGTGGGTAGGTTAACACTGGAGATGGTCGGTATGTGGTGAGAGTGATCGTGGGTGGGGTAACACTGGAGATGGTCGGTATCAAATGAGAGTGATGGTGGGTGGGGTAAGACTGGAGATGGTCGGTATGTGATGAGAGTGATGGTGGGTGGGGTAACACTGGACATCGTCGGTATGTGATGAGAGTGATGGTGGGTGGGGTAACACTGGAGATGGTCGGTATGTCATGAGAGTGATCGTGGGTGGGGTAACACTGGAGATGGTCAGTATGTGATGAGAGTGATGGTGGGTGGGGTAACACTGGAGATGGTCAGTATGTGATGAGAGTGATGGTTGGTGGGGTAACACTGAAGATGATCGGTATGTGGTGAGAGTGATGGTGGATGGGGTAACAATGGAGATGGTCGGTATGTGGTGAGAGTGATGGTGGGTTGGGTAACACTGGAGATGGTCAGTATGTGATGAGAGTGATGGTGGGTGGGGTAACACTGGACATGGTCGGTATGTGATGAGAGTGATGGTGGGTGGGGTAACACTGGAGATGGTCAGTATGTGATGAGAGTGATGGTGGGTGGGGTAACACTGGAGATGGTCGGTATGTGATTTGAGTGATGGTGGGTGGGGTAACACTGGAGATGGTCGGTATGTGATGAGAGTGATGGTGGGTGGGGTAACACTGGAGATGGTCAGTATGTGATGAGAGTGATGGTGGGTGGGGTAACACTGGAGATGGTCAGTATGTGATGAGAGTGATGATGGGTGGGGTAACACTAGAGATGGTCGGTATGTGATGAGAATGATGGTGGGTGGGGTAACACTGGAGATGGTCGGTATGTGATGAGAGTGATGGTGGGTGGGGTAACACTAGAGATGGTCAGTATGTGATGAGAGTGATGGTGTGTGAGTAACACTGATGATGGTCTGTATGTGATGAGAGTGCTGGTGGGTGGGGTAACACTGATGATGGTCGGTATGTGTTGAGAGTGATGGTGTGTGGGGTAACACTGATGATGTTCGGTATGTGGTGAGAGTGATGGTGGGTGGGGTAACACTGGAGATGGTCGGTATGTTATGAGAATGATGGTGTGTGAGTAACACTGATGATGGTCTGTATGTGGTGAGAGTGATGGTGGAGGGGGTAACACTGATGATGTTCGCTATGTGGTGAGAGTGATGGTGGGTGGGGTAACACTGGAGATGGTCGGTATGTCATGAGAGTGATGGTGTGTGAGTAACACTGATGATGGTCGGTATGTGATGAGAGTGATGGTGGGTGGGGTAACACTGGTGATGGTCAGTATGTGGTGAGAGTGATGGTGGGTGGGGTAACACTGGTGATCGTCAGTATGTGATGAGAGTGATGGTGGGTGGGTTAACACTGGAGATGGTCTGTATGTGGTGAGAGTGATGGTGGGTGGGGTAACACTGGAGATGGTCGGTATGTGATGAGACTGATGGTGGGTGGGGTAACACTGGAGATGGTCAGTATGTGATGAGAGTGATGGTGGGTGGGGTAACACTGGAGATGGTCTGTATGTGGTGAGAGTGATGGTGGGTGGGGTAACACTGGAGATGGTCGGTATGTGATGAGACTGATGGTGGGTGGGGTAACACTGGAGATGGTCAGTATGTGATGAGAGTGATGGTGGGTGGGGTAACACTGGAGATGGTCAGTATGTGGTGAGAGTGATGGTGGGTGAGGTAACACTGGACATCGTCGGTATGTGATGAGAGTGATGGTGGGTGGGGTAACACTGGAGATGGTCGGTATGTGATGAGAGTGATGGTGGGTGGGGTAACACTGGAGATGGTCAGTATGTGATGAGAGTGATGGTGGGTGGGGTAACACTGGAGATGGTCAGTATGTGATCAGAGTGATGGTGGGTGGGGTAACACTGAAGATGATCGATATGTGGTGAGAGTGATGGTGGATGGGGTAACACTAGAGATGGTCAGTATGTGATGAGAGTGATGGTGGGTGGGTTAACACTGGAGATGGTCAGTTTGTGATGAGAGTGATGATGGGTGGGGTAACACTGGAGATGGTCGGTATCTGATGAGAGTGATGGTGGGTGGGGTAACACTGGAGATGGTCGGTATGTGATGAGAGTGATGGTGTATGAGTAACACTGATGATGGTCTGTATGTGATGAGAGTGATGGTGGGTGGGGTAACACTGATGATGGTCGGTATGTGGTGAGAGTGATGGTGGGTGGGGTAAC